CACCGTTTACGTCTAGGTATTTGCCTCTCCACACAGAACCCTGCACTAAACCTCTGGGAATCTCAGATGGTCGAATTCGAGATGATCAAATGTCTGCTTCGAGCACTTACGGCGACTTATTTGAAATCTTTGGAGCACACCGAGCAAGACTAAACTTAACAAGCTGGCCTCCTGGATACAGGGCCAATGTCGATGCACTCGGGGATTTTACGTGGATAAAGATCACGCTGGACCAAGACATGGTGATAACAGGCATTGCCACTCAGGGCTACGGCAATACATCTTTTAGCGAATGGGTCTCTAACTACCTAATCTTTTACGAGAAGAAAGGGGCTGAGGTAACAGCACCATGTGCAAATACAGATGGCGAAGTAATGGGGGTGAGAATTTTAGTGGTTGAAATTATGTACTTTTAAACGGCTTAGAGCGTAGTATGAAATGCCTGTGCATTGAGCCACAAAAAAAAAAATGGAAACAGCTTGTTGGGGCTTGTTGGGGCTTGTTGGGTTTGTAAAATCCAAATGACAAATCCAAATGGCTATACCAATGGTGAAAGAAAATCGTCAAAGCTGCCTATCGCTAGTCGATACTTGTCTCTGGTTTTATTGCAATCTGTTTAGTCGGTCTTCCGTATCTGTAACCAGAATTTGTTTTTGTTCTCGTAGATGTGTAATGGAAATGTCGACTCAACTTCAATCCGATACCATAATCTTGCTACTCCTGTAGTGACAAAAAGCGTCTTAGTCAACCCACTGACATGGAAGGATAATATCGGTCTTCGCATGGAGCTGTATGGATGTGAGCCAGGTATCTCATGTGATTTCTCATTTATTGTTTGCCCATCAAAGTAAAGAAAAGGAATTTGCATCTTAAATTGTATTTACACAAAGATACTTTGAAAAGGAAAAATGAACTTTAGAGGAAGGTTTTGAAGAAAATCTCCGTCTACTTGATTGGATTAAATAGTGTCGCTACATTTCCTCTTCTCGTTAGAATTCCATTTCGTGGCTGTGATCACCATACAGAAAACGCGTTTCAAACTCGACTACGCCAACTCCACAACCGGGAGCTACCTTAGCATGAGAGACGACGTGATTGCGGAGGTAATTTTGTGTTTGTGAGCCTTTGGCACAAGACGAGGACTTTTAATTAAATGTATGAGCCCGTCTTATCGCCAATACTATGAATATCTTGGAGGTTGTTTTGATAGTGCCTCCTCTAAATAAGAGGATATAACGAATAGTGGACCAGAAAAAACCGTTTAGCGAAACCTCNTAATTATAATGTTTGATGACTAATAATTTCGAATGCTACCGTAGCGATAGACTAACATTTCCTCCAGGTTGGGTGGTAAGGAAATGGCCTGCGGTTTCAAAATGGGTGAGATTGATTTTATGCATGTACTCGCATCGTGGAAGGTCGGTTTTGAAGTTAAAAGGGGCGAGTAATAATCAGAACACTCATATATGTAGCGTTTCATTTTATTTCATGTAGTTTAGGTAATTTCTTTGAGTCTTCGTTTAGGTAACAGACTTGTTGGATGAAGTTTCTGGGTTTCTCTTCGCTAAATTGCGGACTCTGAGGTAGGAAAACTATCCAGGCAGTTGATAGATCTTTTTAAGACGCTCTTCAGAAAGATTATCCCCCTAATTTTCGATGGGATTTGCCTAGACTCTGCGTATAATTGTGTTTTTAAAATTCCTCCAACTTCTTGGGACTTTGTCCTCAAGGTCGCAGAGATGGGAACGTGACCGTTATCCAAAAATGCTCTTTTTACTATTTAGTTGATGTTCGTCTTAAATTACTCTTGCTTTGATTAGTCCACAAGCAGTCCACAAGAAACCTGTTATGGCTGCAGAAGTTCAAATTTATTGCATTGAGTCGAGAAAGGCTGCAGTAGCTCAAGAGCTGAATAATAGCGTACAGAATGGTTTTTCCTCAATTCTTGGCGAATTTCTTTACCTTGAGGAACTTTGTAAGTAAAAGCAACTTACCTTAATTTTTATTGAATGGAAAAAGTGATTATTCTCGTTACCTCATTTGAAATTCGGTTTTAGGACCTATCCTCTTGTCCTACGTTTTCTACTGTTTACGAAATCTCTACCTGGGACAGCAATGTTAGTATTCGAAAGGGCAAAAGAGAGGGCTATATACAAAAGTTTGGAGCCGACACTTTGTTTTTGATGTTGTTAA